CCCCAAAACCCCAAAACCCCAAAACCCCAAAGTAAAGTTATTATAAATTTTATAGATATGATAAATTTGTTAATAACTAAAATTAATAAATAAATAGCTCAATAATAAATGCTTAAATCAAAAGCTTAACCTTATTGATTAGTCTTAATCTCAATATTGAAAACAGATAATCTAAATTGATCAGCACTTCCATCTGTTTTAGCAATCATAGCAATAAACAAAGTTAGTCATTGGCTCATCAGCCCTCTCAATCTAGTACTAAACAAATCCGGTTTTCTCACTTCCACACTCACAAGTAAATAATCCACTAAATTCACCCTTATCAAGAGTCTGTTGCTTTTCCCAGTCAGTCCTCTTCATTGACAATGTCCTATGCAAGGATTCCTCTCTGAGTTGCTTCATATACTCACTGGCTAGTTTCTTAATATCTGTTACTACCAGCTGAGTAGCTGTGAGATCCTGATTGAGTATCTTGTACCTCAACTCAAAGTTCTTAGGGTCATTCAGGTTAAACAATAACGATCTAGCCTTGTCTCCATATGACTTGCCTGACTTAAAATTCTCTTGTATTGCGTCCTCTATTCTTAAGGCGCACTCAGTCGCCCAACGCTTATCGTCTTCTGTGACTTTGCCCTTGACCAATTTTGCAATGGAATCCTTGAAAGTATTTACCAGCTTTCTTCTTACAGCGTCTCTATAAGTAAGTCCAGTACCATCAATCAAGCTGCTAATATTTGATCTTATCTCTCTTGGCTTATTATCATCCAAACTCAATTACACACATCCATCACTTGAGGCTCTTTCAGAGGTTTAAGGAGTTTTAAACTCTTCTTGACTGTCAAGATTGTTCATGCTACAGAACGAAGACTTTTCATTATCATCAGTGCATAATGAAGTCTAGGTGTTTTCATTATCTGTGAGAGTAATGTTAATCACACCTTTTACATCGAGCTTGGATAGGCAATTGGTAGAATTGAGGATCTCCTCTTTATCGGTAGATGATCTTCCCAGAAAGCTGAATTATTTCATTCTCATTCTTTCAACATCTAGTTGCATGCGACTCTCTCTTCTCTAATCAGCCCATTTTTTGAGTAGTTCTCTGGCAGTCTTCTTCATCAACTCAAATTGCAGCTTGTTTGAGCTCATGAACATATCAAGAGGCAAACTCAACAACTCTCTCACCAGCTTTTCTGTCTTGGCATGCTCAAGCACTTTCAAGTCAACCTCACCATTGTATAACTTTTTCAGCAGAGTTGTGACAGCCTTAGGATCGCTTCTTTTCTTGAGTGCAATATCAGCCATGTACTCAATAATCGTCTCATAAGGTATCATGTTTAGATTCCTCAGCATCTCCTCTGCACTGCCATAAATCGTGGGTTCTGTGACTGATCCCATTATTTCACTCATCTGTTACTTGCTTGTGATTTTTAATCAAATTAATAAAAACTAAAAATCCATCATTAAATCTTTAGTGTTGGGGTTTTGGGGTTTTGGGGTTTTGGGGTTTTGGGG